ATCGAGCTGGTTGATATAAACAAAAATCGTGTGCGCATCGGAACGGGACTATCGTCGATTAGAAATTTCCAAGTTCCACGTAACATATGCCGAAATAAAGAAAAAAAAAAAAAAAAAAAAAAAAAGAAAAAAAAAAAGAATAAAAAAAAGGAAAAAAAAGGTAAAAAAAAAGAGAGAAAAAAAGCAATACAAAGAACAGTAGAACGAAAAAGAAAAAAAAATTATGTAGAACAAATTGCGTTTCCCGGTCGAGTGAAGGTCACTCGATTGGCTGTCGGTTTTTTTTTTTCTTATTGCTGTTGTTGTTGTTATTATTATTTTATTAATTATTGTTGTTGTTGTTATTGCTATTAATGATAATGATGGTGATGATGATTATGATTATGACTATGATTATGATTATGATTATGATGATGATGATGATGATGTTTATGATGACGATGATTTTTGTTCCTCCTTTTTTTTTTGTTTTTCTGGTTTTTTGTTTTGTTTCTCCAACGAACCCCCCCCCCCCACCCCCATTGAAGATATTTCTCTTTTATTTTCCACGTATTTACGTATACATACAGACATACATACATAATACATACATACATAATACATACATACATACATATATATATATATATACATACATATATATTACCACTTGTTGACACACAGTTATGCTTGCTAAGTCTCTTAACTTTTTGAAGCATGGCATTTGCTACGAGTGAATCGTATCGAGCAGAGTAAAATGGCGGCGCGACGTTGCACGAGCGCAAGACATCAGGTAAAATCTTCTCGTGATATCTTCAATTCCAAGATAGAAAGAATGAGAAATGTACTCTAATCGAGCATGCAAATGTAGACGACGAAGGGGAGAGATTCTTGCGCTCGTGCCGTTGCAACGAATTACGAGTGAATCGCATGTTTAATTTAGTTGGTAATTATTATTTAGATATTAATCTTTGTAAAACGACTTTGTACCGTTCTCCTTCATCTTCCACGACATATATATATATACATATATATATATATATATATATATATTATAAATAATTTTTCAAAGTAATATAATTACTTGTAAAAGTAATTGCAAAAAAAAAAGTATGGAAGATTTGCGATGAAGACGAAAACGTTGCAATGTCGCACAAGGATCGAAAAGATAGAGAAAAAGAGAGATCGAGAAGAGAGAGGGAGTATAGAGAAAATTAAGGAAAAAAAAAAGAATAAAATAAAAGAAAGAAAGAAAGAGATAAATCGATCGAGTCTCTTTTTGTAAGAAAAGTAAAAAAAAAAAAAAAATAGTAAAAAGAAAAGAAAAAAAAAATAAAAGAAAAGGGAGAGAAAGAGGGAGAGGCAGAGGGGAGAAAGAGAGAGAGAGAGAGAGAGAGCGGGGGGAACGGTGACATAGGAGAAATATTATGGAGAATGTAATTGGACTAATCCGATCACCCTTATTTCCAGACGTAAGAAGAAATGTATCAGGTACATGGGGGAGGGAGGAGAAGGCGACGGTGAAGCCGATGGCGAAGGTGAGGACGATCATTCGGAGGATAATTTAGGCAGCGTGGGGGAGGCAGGTACTCCCGAGGAAGACGAATCCTTGAGCAGTCCTGGGGGTTTGTCCGCATTGTCGAGTCTGGCCAGTCCATCGTTGGTGTTGCCATCACCTTCGAGCCTAGCCAGCCCGTGTCCATGCCCTTTGACACCTCCGGTACCTCCTCCGCCCCTGCCGAACCCGAGTAATCAACAACAACAGCAGCAGCAGCAACAGCAGCAACAGCAGCAACAGCAGCAGCAGCAACAGCAGCATCAGCAGGCTCAACAACAGGGCCAGCAACAGCCGCATCGTAATCCAGTTGGTACGAATCCTCACGACATCAACAATCCGTTGAGTGTTAATCAACTCACCGGGCAGTGTATAAAAAGTGAAGTCGTACCAGCACCACCCTCGGGTCCCTCCAATCCAGCGATCAGCGTTACGTAGCCCCGGGTGGACCCACGTGACAAGACTGTTGCAACACACGGTGTCATCCAAGGGGTCCATCTATGTATCTACTGTGCGCGACAGAGAGGCTGGACGATGACGGTAACGATGACGATGACGATGACGATTAATTCGAAGAGACAGCAGGGTCGTTCGATCAATGATAGAACGTCATTGTTGAACGAAGTTAAATCTTCGTTCGCCGATCCTATTACTCTTCCTCCTCGTCTATCGGCGTTAATCGTAATCGAGCATGGACTATTCGAGAAACGATTGGAAAAAAAAAGAAAAAGAAGAAGAAAAAGAAGAAGACGAAGAAGAAGAAGAAAAAGACGAGGAATGAGAAGGTTTTCTCAATCGTCGTCATTCTCGTCATCGTCGATGCCGCAGCGAAGTACTCCTTCGACTTCGGTTCTTCGCCCTTTTTCAATTGTCGTCGTCTCTTGTGTTGTTTCTAGCGAAATATACAAAGGAAATGAAAAAAAAATGAAAAAAGAAATTAATAAAAGGACGGACGATCGAGCTTTT